CCCTGATGCTGCTTGGTCTGCTGTGTTCATCCAGCTCTACACCTTGTTATTTCAGATTCTCCAGCATCGGCAGTTCCTACTATCTCTCAATATCCTTGTAAATCTTTTCTGTACCCTTTCAAGTTTTACAACATCCTTCCTACAGCAGGGAGACCAGAATTGAACAATGTTTAGGCCTCTTTTAGAATACTATGTCCTATACAGCCGCACCTTGACATCCTCACTCCTGTCCTCAATGCACCTGAACAATGAGGGCAAGTGTGCCAAACACCACCTTCACTACCCTGACTACCTGTGACTCCACGTGCAAAGAACTGTGCACCTGCACCCCTAGCTGTTTTTGTTTGGCAATATCCTCAGGGCCCAACCATTAACTGTATAAGTCCTGCCCTGATTTGCCTTACCAAAGTACTCAGCTCCTGACTCATTACAGTCTTAGTTCAAATCTGAACAAAAGAGCTGAATTCCAGAGTTGAGGTGATAGTGACAGCCCTTGACAGCAAGGTTGCATTCAATTGAGTGTGGCATTAAGGAGCACGAGCAAAACTGGAATCAATGGGCAAGCTCTCTGGTGGTTGGAGTCATACCTGGCAAATAGGAAGATGGTTGTGGTTATTGGAGGTCAATCATCTCAGCTCCAGGACATCTCTGTAGGAGTTCTTCAAGGTAGTATCCTAGGCCCAAACATCTTCAGCTGCTTCATCAATGACCTTCCCTCCTCCATAAGGTCAGAAGTGGGAATGGTCACCAATGATCGCACAATGTTCAGCACCATTCACAATTCCTCAGATATGGAAGCAGTCCATGTTCAAATGCAATAACATCTGGACAATGCTAGGCTGACAAGTGGCAATAACATTTATGCCACGCAAATACCAGGCAATGACAATCTTCAATAAGAGACTATTTAACCATTGCCCTTGATATGCATTGGTGTTACCATCACTCAATCTCCCATTATCAACATTCTGTGTGTTACAGTTGACCAAGAATTCAACTGAACTCGGCATGTAAATTAACTGGCAGGTCAGAGACTTGCAAACCTGAGGCAAGTAACTCACCTCCTGACTCCCCAAAGCATGCCCATCATCTACAAGGCGCAAGTTAGGATATGATGGAATATTCCTCACTTGCCTGATGGGTGAAGCTCCAACAACACTCAGGAAGCTTGACATAATCCAGGAGAAAGCAGTCCGCTTGATTGGCACCATATCCATATGCACCCATTCTCTCCAATACCAATGCTGAGTAGCAGCATCTTCATGATGCACTGCAAAAGTCACCAAAGATCCTTAGACAGTAGCTTCCAAACACACAGCAACTTCCATGTAGAAAGACAAGGGCAGCAGATACATGAGAACACCACCTTCAAGTTCCCCTCCAAGCCACTCACCATCCTGACTAGGAGATGTATTGCCATTCCTTCACTGCCACTGGTTCAAAATTCTGGAATTTTGAAATTTGCACATGGACTGCAGCTCACCACCACCTTCTTAAGGGCAACTAGGAACAGTCAATAAATGCTGGCCAGCCAGCAAGGGCCACGTCCCATGACTAAATAAACAAAACTGCTGCCATTGGTACTAACATAGATGACAACAACTGGATCCTTCCTCTCCTGCTACACATTCTTCTCCAGTCCTGAGCGGTGTCCTTAACCTTGGTACTGGGCAGGTACTCCTGCTCAGGGCTGAAGAAAACTATATCTGTCCCCCAATTATATTGTCCCCTATCACTACTGCATTCCTATTTTCCCCCCTCCATCTGAATGGTACTGTGAAACAAGTTTTTATGGTTAGTTATAACACAGTGTGGAGCTGGGGGAACACAGTGGGCCAGGCAGCATCCGAGGAGCAGGAAAGTTGACGTTTCAGGTCGGAACCCTTCTTCAGAAATGGGGGAGGGGGAAAGGAGCTCTGAAATAAATAGAGGAGGGGCGGAGCTGGGGAAGGTAGATGATAGGTGAGTGCAGGTAGGCAGTGATGGGGATTGGTCAGTGAGGTGGGAGGCGCGAATAGATTGTGTCAGATTATGACAGGTCAAGGAGGTGGGGATGAGAGGGTGGGTTGGTCATGGGATGAGGCTGGGGCTGCGGAGATTTTGAAACTGGTAAAGTCCACATTGAGACCATTGGGCTGTAGGGTCCCAAGGCAGAAAATGAGGTGCTGCTCCTCCAGTTTCCGGGTGGCGCCACTGTGACACTGGAGGAGGCCCAGGATGGACATGTCGTCCAGGGAGTGGGAGGGGGAGTTGAAATGGTTCGCAATTGGAAGGTGTTCTTTGTCACAAACAGAGTGCAGGTGCTCTACAAAGTGGTCTCCGAGCCTCCGCTTGGTCTCAGCAATGTAGAGGAGGCCACATCGGAAGCAGCGGATGCAGTAGACCACATTGGCAGATGTGCCTACCTGCACTCGCCTATCACCATCCCACCTACCTTCCCCAGTCCCATCCCCCCCTCTATTTATTTATACTGCCTCACCTACAGTCATACCAGCCCCGTACTGATTACAGACTGCTTTTGAATTACCTAGTCCGAGGGGAGTGACTGCTCTCTGGATCAAAATGTCCAGATAACCTTCCCCCTTCCCAATATACCACAACGTCTGCAGGTCAGTCTGTAGCTTCTCAACTCAGATCCAAAGCTTCATGAGCAGCAAACATTTACTACAGATGTGTTCACTTTGGATCACATTGGTATACAGCAGCTTCCACATGTTGCAGCAGCAACACATCACCCATCATACCATCATTGTCGTATTTGATTTAATTTATAAGCTAACTAATCCGGATTCTCTGTTCTTTACACTTGTATTAAATTTCATTTTTCTAAAATAAAAAAACATAAAAAACCTATTGATAGAATAGAGAGAAGAAAAACACTCGAGACTTGAATACAAACTGAAGATCTTATTTTTGTTTAAAATCTAGAAATATTCACCAATCCTATTCAAAAATAACCTTCTTTCCCTGCGCTGGTGTCACAATGTGCATTGTGACATCATTCTGCCATTGGTCTCACTGCAGGTCGACCTGCCAATCCAAGACTTTTATTCTCTCCCTCTTACCTCTCACTCTGGAGAGCTTACATCTTATAGTAACCTTAGTCAAAGCACCTCTGTCTACTTTTGCACCAAATTACCTCTGAATGAAATTTCATAGAAACATAGAAAAATGGAGCAGGTGTAGGCCATTCAACCCCTGAGCCTGTTCCTGCTTTGCCCCCATATCTTTTGATTCCTTTAGCTCCAAGTGTTATATTCAACTCCTTGAAGTTATACAATGTTTGGCCTCAACTGCTGCCTGTGGTAGTGAAATCCACAAGCTCACCACTTTGGATGAAGAAATTTCTTCTAATCTCAGTAATTCTAACAGTATAGTCTCACTTGGCCTTTATCTCACTGTGCTGAATTGTGCACATTGCCGGTACTACTTACTGACATCCCTCTGCCATCCTGTATCCTTCCGGGATTTATGAGGGTATTGAAAATTTGTTTAGTTTTACAGATCAGCTCATAATTGTCAGCCATTCCTACCCCATCTGACTCACAGTGGCTACCCTGTAGTCTTTAACCAGGGTTCTAATCGTGAAAGTAGTGAGCTTTTAAATTCTTCCAAGAGAATGATCTCACTTAGATCTTCACATGTGGTATTTACTCCTAACGCCCATATCGACCAGTCAAAGTTACCTTGCTTTATTCTTTCAAAGTTAAGGTACTTAGTTTACTTGAGTTTTAAATCATTTGTCCATATGCCTCCATATGTGCTTGGAGTAGTCTTTCTTACAGCATCATAATCCATTGTAACCTCCACTGACAGTGATACATATGTAGAACATGCTGTACCTTTCAACCTGCTCTGCAGACACAGTGTCCAGTTTTTCTTCAGCCATTTCATTTGTTTTGCTTCCTTTTAAATTAACATAAGGATTAACCCCACAGTTTTCCCCTTGGACTTCGGTTGGGCATGTAAAAAAAAACAAAACATTTCCTTACTGGATTTAGATTATGAATAAGAACATTCTTCTACATCTGAGGCTTCTTTTTTAACCCACAGCTCTTTAACCCAGTATTCTTTCCTCTTTTTGTTTCCTTTATGTTTCTTCTCTTTTGGTTTACTTTACAACTCAAGTTCCAGGCACTTAAATACTGTCTCTTTATCTTTCTGCTGCCTCTCTGAAAATCAAGAATTTTCATATCCATGTCAAACCTTTTTGATTCTAATGTTATTTCCTTTGTTTTATGCGTTCAAGCTGCTTTAAATGGCACTCACTTATAATTACCTTTTATGACTGTCATTTGAAGGACCTGGTCTCTGTTGTATTTCTACCAATTCCAAGTTATCAGGACAATTTGCAAAAAGTACCAAAACAAAGGATAAAAAACATTTATACTGAATAAGAGATGAGTGTTGACTGATTGGCAAGTGGACTCTGATTGGTAGAGGTTGACATGGAGAATGCCGAAGTTTATGGTGATTGACAGTTAAATGCCAAGTTTTATTTAAATGTTAAATCAGACATATTGACTCTGATTGGTCAAGACATTCCCTGAGAAATTAGTGATGTTAAAAGAAGTTAAAGTAACATCTATAAAAAAGGGACATTTTTTTAAAAAATTGGTATCATTTTGTTGTTCAGCACAATACGATAATAATGTTAATCTTGATACGTGAATACATGTAACAGATTTTTATTTGATATCATGGGTTACGAATTGAAATCCTTAAAAAGAAAGAATTTGCATAATAAATGTAAAAATTCAGGATTTGGGCATTAAGTAAAGGACTAACTTTAGGCATAGAAAGAGGTGAAAGAAATTGCCTTCTCAATGAATTAATTATTTTCACCACGACTAGAAGGCCAAATCATATATACTAATTTTAAATCTTTCTTCATTCCTATAAATAGGACAAGGACGAGTAAACCCTTCCCAAGTTGCCAATGCAATGATTGATTCAGTCTGTGATTTTGTAAACAGAAAATCTTCAACTTATTTGCAGAAGATTCGCATTGTTATTTTCCAACCACAAATGTTCAGTGAATTTCAGAACAGTCTGCAAAAACGTGAAAGGTCCAATCTTCCGGAATCAGAATCTTTCTGGAATAAAGCAAAAAGTAAGTCTCAGAACAATTTACAAAAGTTTTTCCTTGTGTTTATGTTTTATTCCACAAGAATTGCCTTGTTCTAATAGGTAATATTTCTGGCACTCCTAGATGCAGTAACAGGACTTTTTTGGACTGATCAAAGTAAAGAGAAGAAACAACATTTTACTGAAAACCATATTGTATTCAAAGATCAGATAGATCCTGTTCTGTTTGAAATCTGTGGAGCAAGCGAGCTAATTGTAGAAAAGGCGAAATCCTTTTTACAATGTTTAATTTTAAAAGAACATGATGAGAAAATCATTTACAGCGATGACTTATTTCAGTTCTCTGAAAAAGAAGAAGAAGAATTAACTGCACTCCAGAAGAAACTGCAAATCACAGTAGAGTTGAAACTTAAACCATCTGGAGCTGAGGCCATTGTTCGTGGCGCTGCTAAGGATGTTTCATCTGCTTATTCTAAAATTCAAGAAATGATTAATAATCTCAGAGTAAAAGAATCCAGAAGAAGAGATGAAGAACTTCTCAACAATTTGGTGCAATGGCACTTTGAACAAGGTGCACAGTTCATCCCTTTTGACAAGGCTGTGAACCTTGATCTGGAAAAGGCATTCACTCAGGTCAAAACTGAACTCTTAATTGAATGGCAGTCCAAAAGATGGAGAGTGGATTTCAAACAAAATACTGCAACTGACACTCAAGGAAACATAATTAACTTGAAAAGGGTTTTGAAAACAGAAGGTAAATCTTTTCGTCTTAATAAAAAAGAACTGTTCGTAGTTATTCATTTTGATGTACTTTCCACAAACGATGAGTGGGTGTTGCTGTAGATCAGTTCACTCATTTTGCCTTATGGATAATGGCATGCCAGAAAAACAAAACCTATATGGAATCACCTTAGTTAGTCTTAATTCAGTTTGAAGGGTACATTGGTCCACAGCACAAACTCCATAGAAGTATCACAAATCTAAACTAAAAAGCAGTATCAAGGGCTCCATATGACTTGTATGGTGAACAGAAATAATTTAGGTGTGCGATGAGATATTGTCCTGACATGGAGATGTTAGGACAATGTATTCAGTAATTCTTTTTAAGTACTTTGCAAACGTTTATATTTGTCCAGGAGAAAAAGTCAAAAGAGTTGGTGCCATTGGAGATTGATTCATTTAATTTGTCCAATTCATTTGTAATGAGAAGATGTCATATTTCATGTTTGTAGTGAACAGGAACAAAATTATTCCTCAAATACTTATACAATGAAATCATCATGTCTTTTAAGTCAAAACAATTAAATATCTGACTTGTCTTATAATTGTCATGGTAGAAGTTAATTATAACATTGGATGCTTAATTTGGGGAAAAGAAAACATCCTGGCACTGACAGCCATTTCTTGAGGCTAATAAAACTTTGACTAGCATATGAATGATGATAAAAATATGATGTGATTCATTTGATTTATCTCCAGGAATGGCAACAGACAACATTCCTAGCCACTGGGATGACATGCAAAAATCACAGTACAAATTTATACAGTTACAACAACAATCCCAAGAATATCAGGAAGTAGTGAAATCAATAACAACATCAGAGAACTTAATGAGACTAAATAAACCGATTAAGATTGTGAAGGTATTTTAATATTTGTTGATAATGTAATCCACTTTCATGGCATCCAAACAACAATATGTGAAAGTGAACAAACTTTCAATTAATATATGATTGTTTTAAAGCTGGAAAACCTGAAGCATTAACTCTGTTTCTGTGTCTACTATTGGTATTAACATATGGTGATCTATCTCATAACGTATATCATAGAAAATTAGCATGAAAATAATTGCTGGGCAGTACGTTGCCAAAGAAATGAGGAGGTATTCTTCTGAGTTAGAGATGTTTTGGATGAAGTTTGAGCAGTGAATAAACAGAATGGAATTTGGAGGCTACCATCTGATATCGTCCGAAAAAGTCCAACAACTTTAAAAAAATTCAGTGGATGTCAACATCACTAGCTAGGCCATCATTTATTGCCCATCCCCAATTGCATGCAAGAGTCAACCAGATTGTTGTGGATTTGGAGTCACGTGGTCAGACTAGATAAAGGTGGCAGATTTACTACCTTAAAACATGTTGACAGTATAGTCATGATGGTATAGAGGGAAAGTCCATTTCCATTTTTCCCTTAAAATGATTTCATGTTTACTCTCCGTAGATCAATCCAATCAGTCCCATTACCCCGAGTCGACATGTAAGTTTATTTCCCTGAAGGTTTCCTTTCCCTTCTCAGCATGGCCTGCTTGAGGTCTGAAGAAGGCCAGCATGAGCTCTGAAGAGGGTAGGGAGCAGGTCAGTAGTGGACAAGGGGCAGAAGGTTTGGCAGAGGGAGTGCGGACATAATGCAGTACAGTCACAGCAGATGGGCTCACAACAATGATGTTAGTAATGGAAGAAATCACACACGCACTAGCAGTCGCCGTGAGAGCTACTATGTCTAATACCTGGCCAATAGGCTTAAGAAATTAACATTTACATCTCTATGTTGGCAATCCTTAATTAACTCAAACATCTTCAAGTGCCTGTTGATTCCTTATCTCATTATTGTTTATGGAACCTTACCCATTACTGCAATCAAACTGACTAGCGTGTGATTATTAGGGACCCCTGTTTGAGTAAAGATGGTGCAATTGCCACTATTCATTCCCGTGGCACCTCCCCCTATCTAGGGAAGAATGGAAAAGAATGACAAGCTCTTTCTTTATCTCCAACCCTGTTTATTTAAGAAGTCTGGGATAGCAGGCTTCCTGGATCAGACAACTTATCTACTCTAAGCCTAACAAGCCTTTTCCCATTTGCTACCATGTTTCACCTCTTCCATTACCTTGACCACCTTCTTTGAATGTTTTGTTACCACCTCCTTCCTTTGTAATTGCAGATTTGAGGAATATGGGGATAGCACAGGAAAATGGCGTTGAGATAGATGATTAGTCATAATCTAGGAAGGCAGAGGACGTTTGTGGCTAAGTGGTTTATTCCTGCTCCAATATTCAATAATGATTGGTTATTCTATTTTTGTCCAGTAGGATACATATGTACCAACCTCGTTAATCTTAACAGGACACGCTGCATCTCTTTATACATGATTGCTATTTCTGTGTTGCTGAGAAGCTTTTGGGGTTCCTTTTTATTGTTAACTGCAGTCCATTCTCATATTTTATCTTTCACTGTCTTATTTTCTTCATCATTTGTCCTTTCAACATATTGTTTTGTTCTGGTTCACATGTGACAAATTCACCTAACATGTATTGTACACAGTGTTGCCACCATATGTTTTGGCAAAAACCTAGACAGTGCTTTCGATAAAACCTAGAGAAATATAGACAGTTTTAACTTTGGCTACCCCTAGATATTTATCCTATTTACATGACTTGTTCATAATATTACAAAGTAATCCAAATTGTTTTTCAGAATAATGTCATGTGAACAACTAAAATATACCACGCTTTTGCGTGCTGTGAAAAAAACCTATACGAATGTAACACAACGATGACTCACTGAGTTAACTTAATTTCCAAACCAAAATGGCGATGGCTGCCTGGATTTGCGCATGCATTGGGCCAGAGCACCAAGTCCAATGACAAAACAATCCTATGCAATTTCAGCATGAACACCATGGAATAATGCAAAAAAGTTACAAAATTTGACATTTAAATGCATAGAATTGCTCCAAATTAAATGAATCAGCATATATACAACAGGGTCTTGTGAAAGAAACCTAAATTTTGAACGGGAAAACCTTGAAACATAGGACCCAAAAAAATAAATCTAGTTGGAAAAACAAAGAAGTGGCAAGATTGGTTGTAGACTTCTGCTCCTTTCATCATATTCTGTATTTCCTCAGTCCAACGCATCCAAGCCGACCAAGTTTTCCAATCTAAATTTGTTCCACTCACCTGCATTTGGTCCATATCCCTGTAAACCTTTCCTATTCATGTACCTGTCCAAATGTCTTTTAAATGTTGTAGCTGTACCTGCATCTACCACTTCCTCTGGCAGTTCATTCCATATACAAACCACCCTTTGTGTGAAAAGGTTGCCCCTCAGATCCTTTTAAATCTTTCTTCTCTCACCTTAAAAATATGTCCCCGAGTTTATAACTCACCCACCATAGGGAAAAGACCCTTGCTATTCACCTTATCTATGCCCCTCATGATTTTATAAACCTCTATAAGGTCACCCTTTATACGATGTCCAGAACTGCAACAGTACTGCAAAAGTGGCTTCACCAACATCCTGTACAAGCTCAACATGACATCCCAACTCCTGTACTCAATGGACTGAACAATGAAGGCAAGAGTGCAAAATGATTTCTTAACCACCCTGTCTACCTGTAATGCAACTATCAAAGAACAATGTACCTGAACCCCTAGGTCTTTCTGTTCGACAGTACTACCCAGGGCCCTACCATTAACTGTATAAGTCCTGCCCTTGTTTGTTTTACTAAAATGCAATACCTTGCATTTTTCCAAATTAAACTCCACCTGCCACCCCTTAGCCCATTAGCCCAATTGATTAAGATCCCTTTGTAATCTTAGATGACCTTCTTCAATTTCAACTCTACCACCAATTTTGGTATATTCTGCAAACTTATGAACCATGCTTCTAAATTCTTATTGAAATTGTTTATATGAGTGACAAACAGAAGTTGGCTCAGTATTCATCGTCCAAGAATCCCTGGCTTTGGTTCCTCTGCCTTTAATCCATTTTAGAATATACTTAAGATTCACGCATGAAATCTCTGCTTCTTGAAAGCCATCCATTGATCCAGTACAGTTATCCTGTTAATTCTTGGTTCTGACTGGCTGGATGCACATTGAAGTTAGTCCACTTCCTCTTTAAACATTCTGTGCTTGATTACTGCTTGCTCTTCAAATTCAAGTTGAAACCTTATGATTCAATAATCACTGTTCTTTAACTGCACACCCTCCCACACCTGACCCACCTCATTCCCCAGCATCAGATCCAGCAATATAATAGAAGCAAAATACAAGTGGAAGCTTGGGATCTGAAATAAAACCAGGAGAAAATTTGGCTGCCCAGTTGAGGGTCTGTGGAAAAAGATAGAGTTAAATTTCAAGTCCAGAAAGATGCTTGAAGTGACCACTGTTGAAATTTCCATGACTGGCAGATTTAAAAAAAATGTTTATGGGATGTGGGAATCATTGGCTGGGCCAGCATTTATTGTCAGTCTCTAGTTACCCTTGAGGAAGTGGTGGTGATGATTTGCCTTATTGAATTGCTGCAGTACATTTGATATTGGTAGGCTCACAGTGCCCTTGGGGAGGGAATTCCGGGAATTTAACTGAGCAACATTGAAGGAACAGTGATGGTGAATGGCTTGGAGAGAAACTTACAGGTGACGAAATTCCCTTGTATCTGTTGCCCTTTGTGCAGTGCATCTTGTAGATGGTATACATTGCTGTGCCTTAGCATCAATGGTGGAGGGAGTGAATGTTTGTGAATATAGTGCCAATCAAATGAGTTGCTTTGTCCTGGATGGTGTCAAGCTTCTTGAGTGTTGAGGGAGCTGCATTCACCCAGGCAACTGGGGAGTATTCCATCACACTCTTGTGCCTTGTAGAAGGTGGGCAGGCCTTGGGAACTCAGGAGGTGAGGACTGCAGGATTCTGAGCCTCTGGACCTACCCTTGTAGCTACAGTATTTGTATGACTAGTCTAAGTCTGTTTCTGGTCAGTGATAACCCTCAGGATTTTACATGGCCACAACAGAGACTTTATAGTCAAGTTTCATTAATGCATCTTTCTCCCGAGTGTTTCTACCATTTCTACCTTCTCACTGGGGTCTACAGACTGATAAGTTCTTACGTAAATTTCTATGACTGTCATTTCTATGAATACCAAGTTGCCATTAGCTCATAGATAATTTTGAAAATATGTCAACTGCTGACTGAGGACTCTCAGCCCATGAGCAAAGCATTACATGTACTGGTCTAAATTGCCATTACATTAAACCTATTTGCTGCTTGTTGAGTGACCTGTGATGGATTAATCAGTTACCGGCTTAACACTGAGTTAAGGTCACCAATGATCTCTTCAGGAGGTTTTCATAATTAATTTCCTTCCTAAAGGGACCAAAAAAAACTAAAATAAATCTAGTTCTATAGGCTAGCTGATTTTCCACACGTCGAATTGATGAAGCTTAGGTGTCACTCAAACGTCCTATGAAAATGACTATGAAAAGGGTAGAATAAGATATATATGTAGCTCATCTGTAATATTATCACTTGATTGAGTATAAATATGTCAACACACCACAGATACATATCTTAGCCTTTTAGTATTATTACCAGCAACATGGTTGTCCTAGAGTTCGTATTTCCAGATGTTTCACAACTAAATGATTGTAATAAGAGCTAATAAAAAATATTCAGATACAGGAACTCTGAAAGACCAAAAATATTCAGCACTCAGCAGATCAGGAGAGAACAGATGAATTAACATTTCAGGAATGGATACTTTATTTTATAGAAGCCAACTTTGTATTATTGTAAGTACTTTGAGTCTTGTTTTAAAGTTAAATTGCCTATAAAATGTAACAAAGAAATTTTATTGAACAGATTGAAAGATTGCAAAACATGTGCCTTTGGAAGAATTATATGATTAAAAAACAACAGCTGGAAGATAAGAATCCTGTTGGCACTAGTAATGAACATGTCCTATTTCATGGAACAGCACAAGACACGCTTGATTCAATTAACCATCATGGATTTAATCGTAGTTATGCAGGAAGGAATGGTAAGGAACATGATTTCCCTCATAGTCAAAATGGAAAAGTTTAAATGCTGAAAAGACTGGTTGTGACTATTTGATATTTACTTTTGATCAAAACTACAGTTCTTACAAAATATTTTAATGATGAAATTGCTGGAAAAGCTCAGTAAGTCTGGCAGCATTTACGAAGAGAAATCAGAGGTAATGTTTTAGGTCCGGTGACCCTTCCACAGAACGAATGATGGAGTAGAGATAATGATGGAGTAGTTTTGTTTTCTTAAAAAACAACAATGTAGATTTTTTAAAAAATGTTTGATCTTAATTTTGAATGTTATCAATAAACTTGGCTGATGGTTGCTGATCTTTTTAGACTGTGAAATATACCAGTGAGCAAAAGAAAATATGACAAATGTGTCAACTGACTTGATTTTCAGTAGGCCTTAAAAGAGGTCTTTGCTGTTCCCGAAAGTGAGACTGCACTACAAGCATTACCATATCCAAATAAAATCAGCTCCACATTTCTCTAAACCTTTTAGTTTTTTTCTTAAATGTTTTTAATGAAGTAAGTCTGAAAAGTGTTTCGTTTAAGGATGTTCAAAGCAGATAAGTTTTCTCCCAAAGACAAAGTGATATGTCATTTGGTACTTTTGGTACATAAAATGATTGCACTTTTTTTATTTTTCTTGTATAGCCACAGCACTCGGGAAGGGCACCTATTTTGCAGTAAGTGCAAGTTATTCTGCTCAGGAAACATACTCAAGGACTGATGCTCGTGGATTTAAGTACATGTATCGTGCTCGAGTACTTACTGGAGTCTACTGTCGAGGACAGCCAGGAATGGTCACTCCCCCTTCAAAATCTTCAACAAATCCTACAGACTTGTATGATAGCGTCGTTGATAATGAACAAAACCCAACAATGTTCATCATTTTCAATGATATTCAAGCCTATCCAGAATACTTAATAACCTTTACATTATAGAGTCATTTTGGATAGAAAATCCCATTATAATGGCTTGTTATGTACTCTTTTACAGTTGTGTTACTCAACTAAAATTGTTTCTAACTTTCTTAAAACCTTTCAGTCAATATTGCATACTTCTGTCCTGAAATCAGTTTTTAGATCAGGAAAATCAGTCTGAATAGCTATTGAAATTACTAGGTAGCAGGGCCAGAAAACTTTATTTCAGGTCTAAACAATAAGTTTTAATTCTGATCAAGGATAAATTTCTGACTTTGTTATTTGTAAGTTTCTAACACAAGATTGTCTTGGACAGTCTCGAGCCAGTTTCAAATGGGCATAAGACTTAAGAGTAAACTGCTGAGAGAAATGACTCTTAGATTAGCAAATAAAGATTATGTCAATGCTTTTCATAGTGTTTTTGAAATATAAGTTGAGAGTCTTTTGAATATTGAGGCTCCAAGTCTCAGGAGCAAAACTGATATCAGCTCCCCTTCAACTTGCTGTAAAGTTCCCATGTATTTTTAGTAAAGTGCAGATTCCCAAAATAACTCATGTCCCTGCATTGATGTCAGGGCAATACTAAAAATTCTCACAATTCCATCTGCGCAGATTTTGAAAAGTCTGCATGAGGAATACCTCATGAAACCTCTGTAGAATACAAATTAGTTAAGCTAAAAAGACAGCCGCGGTCTAACTGTTGCTTAGCTGCTGGTATTTGGTGTTTGTTCTCGCCTTTTTGATCAGATCATCACCAGATGAATTCCCTCAACTTTGTTTGGCGACCAACATTGGATGTAATTGTGATGATACTTGGATCTGTGGTCTCCTAAACAGTTACTGATCTGCTAGATCAGATTCATGATCATTTCTGATGTTAGCTTCTTCTGCTTGGTAGCTACTTACATAAAGTGAAAGTGGATGGGTTATGATGGGGAATACTATAAATGGATGATTAAGCAGTGGTAAGACCAGTAGCGATGAGCAAATATGTATGCCTATTGCTTTAACTTTATTTGAAAATGTTCCTAATCAGAATACTTAGTGGGGAAGCAGAAATCGGAAATCCTAATAGAGATGACCTACTGGATCTGAGCTTGCCTGAATACTCAACTTATTACTGGAGAAGGCATCAGAAACATAGAAAATGATGCAGGGAAAGTGAACTCTTTTGAGGTGGATTAAAGCAGAGAAAGTGTCAGCCTTTGTGTTTAAAAATTAGGTTCACTGGACTGTCTGACAGGAGTACTTAAATACATGATAAATTGGTTGAGGTGCTTCTATTTGTAGCCTTACAAAAGAGACTCGTTTTTTTAGCTTCATTTGACTAGGACAAAGTTTAGTCTCGTATTTGACCATTTTCTCTCTGTGTAAAGGTGTAGTTTGGGATTTCAACGTACCTGCAAAGACAGACTTTGACAATATGTGCAAAGAACCATTTTCCTATATCCACCAAGATTCTCCTTTATTTAGTAATTAGTGGATTTTAGTAATTTTTGACACCAGAAGTAAGAATTGATGAATGCTAATGATGTTAAATTCTTTAACTGTCAATGATTTCTTTGAAATATTCAAATATATCACTGTACATCACATTCTTCCTGTTTGCTATTTATGTTCGGAATTGTCATGCAAAATCAGAAATGTGATTTCTTATTTTTCCTTGTATTAACTCTCTGATTGAAGGTCCAAGACATACTTGTAAGGCATATTTTTATATAGAATTAATAAAACTACCTGATGTCCCAATGTAGAAATTCTAAAACTATACAAAAACAGAACTATAGAGAGATTTGGTTGATTTTACAGTCATTTTATTTATTTGTTCATTATATGTAAGGGTAGCTGGCAAGGCCAGCATTTGTTGGCCATCCACAATTGCCTTTGAAAACTTGCTGGTTGGCTGCGTTATGGAACTGCTACAGTCCATGTGGTGTAGGGACGTCCACAGTGCTGCATGGAAGGAAATTCCAGGTTTTTGACCCAGCAGCAGTGAAGGCATTGTGATATAAGTCCAAGTAAGGATGCTGTGTTGCTTGAAGGGTAACTTTTAGGTGCTGGTGTTTCCATGCATTTTCTGCTCTAATCTTTCTAGTTGGTGGGGTTCTTGGGTTTGAAATGTGCTGTTGAAGGAGACATGGCAAGTTTGTGCAGTGAGTCTTGTAGATAGTACTCTGCAATTGAGAAGTGGATGTTTAAGGTGGTATCAATCAAACAGACTGCTTTATCCTAGGTGGTATTGATCTTATTGAGAGTCATTGAAGTTGCATTCATCCAGCAAAGGGTGAGTATTCCATCACACTCTTTGTAAACAGAGGAGAGTAAAAAGTTACCTGCTGTGAATTCTCAGCTTCTGACCTGCACTGTAATTAGATGGTTGGTCAAGCTCAGTTTCTGGTCAATGATATACCCCAAGATGTTCATGTTAGAGACCGTAGTACTATTGAATATCAAAAGGAGATGGTTAATACCTGACACTTGTGAAAACATTGTTTTTTTGCTACCTATCAGCTGAAACCTGAATATTGTCATGTCTTGTCCCCTGCAAGTGCAAACTGTTTCAGTATCTGAGGAGTTACAAATCGTACTGAAAACTGGAATCATCAGGTAACATCCGACTCCTGCCTTAAGACAAACAGTTGCAGTGACATCCTGGAATGGACATGATCGATCTTGAAAAAGAACAGTCAGATTAATTGGTGCTCAGTTTCACTCCAACTAATGGAGAGATTTCCACTCCCCTTTACAACTTTACTTCAGTTTCACTGGGGTGCTTTGATTTCATAGACAACCAATCAATCTCACCTCACATTTGAATAAGAAGAACTACAGATTTTAAAAGGCACAAAAATACCTTGGACTGAATTTTAACGTTTGCCAGAAGCGGGAATGGAGACAAATGACGTTCAAGATTCCACCCGTCCTGGGTTTTCCCAGAATGTTGCAGTTTGGCTTCCCATCCCAGTGGGGGCTTCCAGGAGTGCTGTTTGCCCCAGATTTCCCATCTCAACTGCCTGATAATTGTGAATAGTTCCAAATGTGCACTGTACTGCTGTATATGTGCAATCCAGAGCAGGCACAGTGTGCATGCACAGACAGAACCACAAGGGAGCAGCAGCTTACTAGCCAGCACCACTGCCCTCCCGGTGTCAATAACTGAGTGAATGGTGGAGTGGCGGATTATGGGAGTGGGGTTCCTGCAGGGTTTGGCATTGTAGTGGGGTGGTGAAGGTAGGCATCCAGCGCATGCATAACTCTTGAGCTCTGAAGCTAGATGCAGAAGTACCAAGTCCAGGTGTCAGATCCATTATAAGACCAAACAGGGGTCCAGGCAAGCCTATGGAGAATGAGAGGGGTCTAGGGAGGCCAGAAGGGAGTTGAGGGCTGCAGTGAGGCCTAATGGAGAGAGGAGAGAAGGGGGTCTAGGAAGACCTATTGGTGGAGAGCAGGTATTAGGGTGAATCAAGCAACTTGTTCTGGTAGTCTGAACAACATTACTCCCTGATCCTAAGATCTTATTAGTACACCCACCCACACCATTTCCCCAGATCTTGCCAGCTATTGCACAACACTGGACAGTTGTCCATTATTTTTTCCTCCAGAGTTAGTCATCCTGACTTGAAGGTGGGATAGAAGGTGGTGGAGTCAGAAACTCAGGAGTCGACACATTCATTTGGAACTCTATGCTATGATACAATGGAATGTAGGAATTAAGAGCAGAAGTAGGCAATTCAGCCCTTCGAGCTCACCCTGCCATGATCATTACATGATCATGGTTGATCTTATCCTGGTCTCAACTCCATTTTCCTGCCTCCTCCCCATAGCCCCTTATCTAACTTTTCATCAGAAACATATCTATTTCTTTTGTGAGTCTGTTGATTCATTCTGCCTCCACTGCACTCTGGAGCAGAGTTTCACAGATTCACAACCCCCTGAGAGAAGTCGTTTCTCCTGATCTCAGTTTTGAACCTATTTTCTCTCACTCTGTATCTATGCCTTCTTGACTGTCCCACAAGGGGGAACATCTGTTCAATATCCACCTTATCAATCCACTTGAGCACTTTATGTACCTTCATTACATTCCCCCTCATTCTTCTGAGCTCCAGCAAGTACAAATCCAAACTATTTGCCTGCTCCTCGTACGACACCACTTTCATCCCTGGAATCAACCTGGTGAACTTCCTCTGAACTCTCTCCAGTGCCACCACTTCCTCAAGTAAAGAGTCCAAAACTGGACACACTCCCCAGTGCCTTACATAATTGTAAAAAGTCAGAAGTCACATGACCAGGTTATAGTCTAATAGATAGTAGGAACTGCAGATGCTGGAGAATCTGAGATAA